GAATCTGAATTGCTGAGGAATTATCTTAGCCAAGATAGACCAGGAGTCTCAGTCTCCAACTTTACCATTGTATTGAGGGCCCCTTTCTGCCTACAGAACAAAACTAATGAACAGAAAACGAAACAAAATAGACTCAAAACCCAAACCAGATAACTCTGTTGAGACACGAAGCTTGAAGGCCAAGCCTAGCTGCAGAGGTGATGATTTAGCAGCCCGTGATTAGAAACAAGAATTAGCATTTTTGTCAATCACAAGGGCTTTTTATCGTTCATCCTAAGTTTTGACAATAAATGGCTAAACATTTGGATTCGTGGGAAAGTGCAGGTTATTGGAGGAATTTGCCGTGGGTGACTTATCTTTCGCCTGTATTTCTGCAGCTACGAGTTCTATCTGCTTCTCTCTCTCTCTCTCTCTCTCTCTCTCTCTCTCTCTCTCTCTCTCTCTCTCTCTCCTTTCTTTGCAAATGGAAATCTCTCTGCCCAGCTCTGAGGGAAATTGGAGAAAGGAGGAGGAGGGAGAGAATCTGGATAGAGGAAAAGAAGAGCCCTAGAGGGGTGAGGAAAGCAAAGAGCCAGACACTGGTGGAGTGAGGACACACACGCCACCTTCCCTTTCTGTACAACCTTGCCAGGAATCAGAGCTGTCTTATTAATAAGAAAGCGTAATAACTTAAAACAAATTAGAGCTCAGTGGAACAGATAGTCTACAGCAGTATAACACCATCTCATTGAAAAGTGATAAATATATAAATAAAAATATCTCAGGTGGAAATTTAGCTTTGCAGAGCTCCAAACACTTGTTTGCAAAATTGTGGAATGTACTAGCTCATCAGACTCTCAGATAGGTCCTGTGTGTTGAGACACCTTTATCACCCCCCCGGAGGCTACTTGCTCAGTTTTCCTTTTTATTTTCTGAGTGGATTGAGTTCTGCTTGTTTTATCTGTTTGTGTTGGGTGACATTTGCTTTGAATTTCATGTTCTTTATCATCTCCCATTGATTCTCCTGTTTGTTATTTATTGTGCATCCATTGCCGCTTTCCCGAGTGACCCCGAGATAAAGTTATTTCAGCACCAGAAAGTGTGGACGGTGGCGGACACACATCAGGACATCTGCCATTTCAAATCAGACCGTTAGTCTGGGAGATCTTACGGGGAGAGCCCAGCGTGCCGCCAACAGGACTGCGGCAGCAGCGAGCAGATTCTAGATCTCAGTTCCCTTCTCTGTGTTGTTTATTGCCGCAGCACCGAGATACGGGTGAGAGAAAACGAGGTGAAGAGTCAGCAGAGAGAGAAGAAAAATGCCGGGTGCCTGCCGTGGGCTTGTGTGCGCGTCGGTCTCTGAGTGTACTCCGGGCGCAGGATGCTCAGAGGAGCTGCCTTTGGGGTCCCCACCCAGGAGGGAGGTCCGACAGAGCCTCAGGCGCCGCGGGGAGGTTGGAGCTGCAGGCCCAGGTGCAAGTGGCCTCCCTCTTTGGTCTTGTTTCCAGAAGGACCCTGGTGAGGCAGCTGTATGTGGCTGAGCACAGTCCTCCCCGTCTCTCCTTGGGAGGCATCTGCCTGGCCCCTTCCCCCCCTTGTGAGTAGAGTCAACGCTGGGATCCCGAGTACGAGTTATGGCTCCGACCGTGAGGATCTATTGAGCCAAGCGACTACACTGGGCTTATTTCCTGACTCCCAAGCCACACTGTTGGGAGGAGTGCTCCAAAGTTTATAAATTCCCTGCACACTTATTTCTCCCTGTCAACCCAATAAAATGCACAGGAAAGCACCCATGTCAGTCTGTGTGGGAGGCTGTAACACCACGTCCTAGACCGGGTGATCCGTACATAGTCGAAATGTATGTCATGTATAGCAACACTTATTTTTATTTTTTAAAGATTGGAAAGCTGAGATCTATGATATTTAAGTGGTTTGTCAGGTTATGTAGCTAGTATAATGGTGATAGGATTTTCAATCTAAGGCCAGGCACCTTTGATAATGACAATAAAAAGGAAGAACTGTAACCCCCAGACCCTGCTAACCGTATAGGACCATCAAATAGGGGAGATCATGTGAACAAGACATTTTGAAAAATAACCTGAGCTTCCAGATCTGCTGTCCCAGCAGCCATAGCAAGGCCATCCCAGGGTCTTGGCTTGAGGAAAAGCCCCAGGTTAGGGACAGCCCCCAGAGGTCCAGGTGCCCCCAGGGTAGCTCAGCTATACCGCAGGTGCCACCACCCAGTCCTCCTCACCTGGCAGCAGCTGTGTCCAGGTCACTCCTGACCTGTCAAACGCCAGCCTCTGCCCTTCCGAAGCTTCTCTATGAATCCTCTCCTCTGGGGAAGTTTTCTGCAGTGGAGCCGGGGGTGGAGGGAGTGAGAAGCCAAGGAGTTGCTTTTTTTCTTTGAATTTAAAGTTTGCTTTCTATTTTTCTTTTCTTTTTTTTTTTTCTTCCATTCTTGGGATACTTCACTTAATAGAATGGGTTCCAGCTCTAGCCAGGAAAATACAAGAGGTGCTGTATTACTGTTGTTTCTGGTAGCTGAATAGTATTCCATGGTATGCATATACCACATTGTATTAATCCACTCATGTATTGACGGGCACTTGGGTTGTTTCCACATCTTTGCAATTGTGAATTGTGCTGCTATGAACATTCAAGTGCAGGTGTCTTTTTCATAGAGTGACTTTTGTTCTTTTGGGTAGATGCCCAGTAATGAGATTGCTGGATCAAATGGTAGAAATAAGCGCCACATGTACTCACCAGAAAATTGGTATTAACTGATCAACACCTAAGTGGACATATAGGAATAGCATCTATCGGGTGTCGGGCAGGTGGGGGGGGGGAAGGGATGGGTATATACAGACATAATGAGCGTGATGTGCACCAACTAGGGGATGGACATGATTGAAGCTCTGACTTGAAGGGGGAGTGGGGGAAAGGGAAATATATGTATCCTTAACATTTTTACCCCCATAATATGCTGAAAAAAATAAATTTAAAAAAATAAAAAAATAAAAAATAAAGTTTGCATCCTATAAAGGATATAGGAAATGAGAGTGAATCAGATTTCATTCTGTTACATCAGAAAGAAAAGCTAAATTAAAAGTAATAATAGCTTACCCTTTCACTTTAGTGACAATCAGATGATTTTGTGCCTACTTGTTCACACTTATGTCGTAATAATCCATGCGTTTAATCTGACCATGGCTCAAAGGAGTGTTTCCTGCTCTAATGCATTCAGAGCTCTGATTTGGGATTCCCGAAGATCATCTGCCTCCCAGGCAGCCCGGGCAAGAGAAGGCTGAGCCCTCGCTCTGAGCCAGCGCTGGGCTGAGGCTGAGGGTGGGCTTTGTCTGGGGTCCCGTGTTCTTGTGCTGAAATAGTTCCATTCCACCAACAACGTGTGTTTGACTGCGTGGCTCTGCTTATGCATGAATTTTTAAAAGTTAATGTGTTGAAATATTTTTTGGAGTTTAGGGACGATTTTAAAAAATTAAAATGAACTGTATACCCTAGAAACATAAAAAAAATAAGAATAAAAAGGTATGTCATGAATGCATAAAATATATGTAGATGCTAGTCTATGTATTAAGTGACTGTGTCAACCAGGAGCCTGTTAGTTCTTGAGTCTTTAGGGAGACAGAAGTTAAAAGTGCAGATTTTCTAATTTGCAGGGAGCAGAAAACAGTGCCCTGACCCCCACATTGCTCAAGGGACAACTGTATCTGCTTTATTTGTACAAATCTCCTTACGTGTGTATGTGTGTGTAAATACAAAGAGTTTATTATAAGGGATTGGCTCACATGCCCATGGGGCTGGCAGGAACCAGGCAGTGCAGGGAGAGAGCCGGCCTGCTGGAGGCCCATGAGGCCACGCTCCAGTGCAAGCCCCTCGCGCAGGAAGACACCTGTCCTCAGGGGAGCGTCAGCGCTTGTGGTCTAGCCAGGCGTTCAGCTGATTAGACACGGCCCACCACACAGGGGAGGGCCCCCAGCCTCGCCCCATTTGCTCACGTAAATGTTATCTCGGCACCCTCACGGAACGCCCAGACCATATCTGACCAAATATCAGGGTGCCTTGTGGCCCAGTCAAGCTGACACATAGAACTCACCATCTCATCGGTTTTGCAGGTGCACTGATAGGCTCAGAGCTAAGTAACTCACTCAGGCGGTGTAGCCACCAAGTCCTGGGCACAGGTTTGAACCCGCCTCCACCTGCTGGCAGCGACTCTCGGTCCAGTCCCGTCTGTGGACACCAGACATGTCTCCGTTGTGCACTTAATAAAGCCAAGTGTAAGATTTCTTAGAGAATCAGATCATGTTCTATTGTCTTGCCACAAAATGCCCCCCCCCCGCTTTGTTTTTTCTGGAAGCGAGCAGAAAAGTGGGGCTTCTTAAAATGTTTAATGCAGGGCCAAGAAAAATCAAGACACTTATTTGAATCTGAGAAGTACGATGTCACACACCAACACCCTCCGTGCCTTTTGCGTTGCTTGCAGCGAGTGAGGGTCTGCTCTGGAAGGACCATGGTCTGAGGCTGTGTCCACCGCACTCCTGCTCCCTCCAGGTCTGCTGGACTCTAGCTGATGACATGCATATATGAATACATGAATGAGCAAATGGTACTTTTTATCTGAAAATTTTCATGAGGATAGCGGATTTAGAAAACGCTATAGTCGCTATGCATAAACAGAGAGAGCAATCTGCCCGGACTCTTTGGTGAGATGATATTAAGGATTTGTGGAATCTGGCATAGGTTCAACTGCAGCACACATTACTTCTAGCTTCTGACATGCTTATCAGAAGGTACGATCTTGCTGCTTGATAGCCCCGTATTAATTATTCACAAGCTCATTTACTTCATTTTCTTTGCATCATTAGCCTTTTAGAGCATGTCCCATTTTCAGGGATCAGTAGGAGAGTGGTTATGATGGGAAACACGACGAGCATAAAAGGTTATTTTGTGATCTATCCAGGTTTCACCTGCTAATAATGGCTTTATTTTGTTTCTTCCAGTGAAAAAGGCAATTGAGTTGAAGTCGAGAGGCGTCAAGATGCTCCCCGGCAAGGACGGCAGCCATAAAAACTCCGTCTGTGAGTTCTCTTTCTCTCTGTATGGGGATTGATGCATCCATTAAAGGGGGGAGGAGAGGAGAGAAGGGGACAGTAAAGGAGAAGTAATTTTATAAACTGCTTTTCCCACTTCATCTCTTTTATCTCTTCCGTGTGCAAAAGTGCTTTCCTGGAGGAAGGGCATGTGCTGGCTTCACACTTCTGGGTAGGAATGTCATGTGGATTCCACCTGCCAAGCACGCCTCGAACCTGTCTCCCCCTCTGCCCTCTGGGCCCTTGTCTGAGGCTGGACGTTGCATATGTCTCTCTTAGATCAGTGCCACGCTGTCAGGCGTTTTGATGCCGGTCAGTCTCCACGCTAGTATGCAGAGCCCACCGCACGCACACCAGGCTGATCTTTGGAAAGCAGAAGTCTGGTCTTGCGGTTTGTCTATGAGAATGTTCTCGGTCACCCGCTGCCTGAAGAATGAAATGGCTTTAGGGCAGTGTCTGCGTCCCCCCAAAGAGAGAGCGAGGTCTGAAGGCACATTCCAGAGCACCAAGCGCGTTCAGGTCTGCCGTGCCGGGCGCCCCATGTTCTGTCCTGGCTCCTCGTGGGGCCGTGGCCGAGAACGGCTGCACGTGGACGTTACCTGCGTTCTTTCCGCCAGACCCGCCATGGAGATCCACACTATTGACATCACAATTTTGTCACGTATCTGCAGGTGGTGAGATATGAGTGCCTTCAGAGGGGTCCTTATTCTTTTCCCAGCCACCCAATAAACTTTAGTCTCTACATTTCAGCTTCATCCCGAGAGCTGGGTTTCTCTTCCAAACCAGCCCTTGATATTCCAGACTAAATCCAAGCATGCAGTCTCTCTTGCACAAGTTATGTGCTTGTCCCTCCAGTGAAGGGTTTTGCTGTGGACAATAAAAAAATTTTCATGATGAAAGTCCAGCGTGGGGTCTGCTATGGCCACACAGTGCCCTCTATTTACCTCTGTCTTAGGATTTCTCCCTCTGTGAGTTTGGCGTATGTTCTGGTGTGAGGGGTCTCTGCTCTGAGACTCCTCAGGAGCAGGGCGTGGGGCGGTGGCAGCCGTGAGTCCCTCCTTTTCCTGCGGGGTGCGGGCTTCTCCTCCAAGGCTGACCTCTGAAGGCCGAACGAGAGGGGCTGCAGGGACAGCTCCCTCCTGGGCGGGCTGGTGCTCTGTGAGTGGGAGGCATTGAGTGACCAGAGGCCAAAGAGGTATTTCAGCTCTTTTGTACAATGAGGGTGGTTCTCTGCATTAACCCTTAGGACGAGAACATTGAGAAGTTCTTTTTGTCGACAGTTTGTAATCAAGAATATATTCAGAAAAAGAAAAAAAGAGAGAGATCATTAAAGATAAGTGAATGTGTATAATGTCCTACATTTCTAGTTACTTTAGGCTTGGAAAACTTGCAATGCAAACAGCCCACCTTGTGCCACAGAAAGGGCTTCTGAAATAAATTTGGTAAATACCCCGTCCTCGAGCGATTGGGGGCGAGGACGTAGTCTTTATTCTGAGATTAAAGCATTTCAAGACCAAGAGATTATGAAATGGCCACTCTATATTTTTTAACGATGGCAGCAGTTAATGTGGTTTCTTCTTCTTCTGAGCGTTCTGCTTTGCAGAATGCAGTGTTAGCAACAAGGCTCCTTGCGAGGATTGTAAGGCTAGATAATCTGCCTGCGCCCTTCTAACTCTGAAACATAAGACTCTGGTGGGAAGAGGACACCTGAAAATCTTGGTTGTTATTTTCGAGCTAGAGATTTTCCCCTCCCCTCTAAAGTCAGAGACTTTAAAGACTTTACGTTTCTGGGTCGATCTGTTGTAACTCGCTCGGGGGTCATTGACACTGACGCCTCCTGCTTGTTGAGCATTTGCAGCTGCAAAGGTTGATGCAGCTGAGGTTGGTGCAGAATCACTATTTCATGTAAAGCTGAATTTTAAAAAAAGTGGGAAAATTGAGCAATACGATGCATCGTCGTGTAAACCCGTGGGGAAAATATCAACGGAACATCATGAACTAAATGCCCTGAGAACTCCCCTACATATAACCGCCAAGGTTTGCATCCTTGCAAGGTTTGCCTCCTTGCCCTTTTGTTGATCAATTCCTCCCTGCCTCCAAAGGGAGCTGAAGCAGAGCAGAGCTGCACCCTCCCGGGTTCCCGACAGACAGTCCTGTTCATGCAAAGCAATGGCTTGGCTTCATCTGGTGTGACAGTGCCCGGAGCTTCCCTTTTCCTCTGGTTTTCTTTCTTTCTTGGAAGGGCAGATTTAAAAACCTGTGGCTCTGTTTGCAGAACTCACTGCAAAGGGGTGTCCCAAGTACTGTTTGCACTCAGTGGTATCATCATAACTACAGATTGTGTTCTCTCTTTAAAATGCATCCCTGGATGAGCTTCTTTCTGAAATACACCCTCGTAAGAGATGTTTCCACTGGCCCTGGGGCATGCTTCCTTGATCCGCTCATCACTATAATTGTTACATTCGTAGTTTTCGTTGTATTAAGTCTGGAATAACTTATGAATGAGTAAATTTTACTAGTGGGTAATATTCTCTTTGTGTTTAAATTCCAATGTACTAAAAAAAGGGGGGGTGGTTAATTTTTTAATGTCTTGCATAGTTTCTTGCCCTCCTGCCAGCCTCTAAGTTTAGCATCCTAATCGCAAGCAAGGAGGTTCAGCCCAGGAAAGACGCTAGCATCCATCTGTTTTCTGAGGTCTGAGGAAGTTAAGAGAAAGGAAAAAAGAGAAACCATGAATTCTCATTAATAGGCTCACAAGGAGAGACTTTAAAAAAGCAAAGCACCTCAGTGATTTTTATGGTTTAGAGAGTTGTTCCTATCTATTCTTCCAGAATGGAAAGGGGCAGATTGGGTTTATTATCCAGGATTCTCTCCTGAATTCCAGACTCTGGTACCCACCTGCCAGCCAGGGTTCCCACGCAGTATCTCACAGGCATCTCATGCTCTCTTGCCCATCTCAGAAAAAGGCCCTGACTTCCCACTGGTCAGTGCCTGGACTCACGCCACCCCGTCTCCAGCCCACCAGCCAGCCCTGCTCTGTCCTAACAGGGATTCAAAGCCCACCTTTCTCCACACCTCCAAACCCCTGCGGCCCCTCACCTGTCCTGCATGTCCACCTGGTCCCTTCTCCCCGCCCCATTTGTCCTTTGCAGCCAGTGGGATCTGGGTGACGCATCACCTGAACCACATTAGTCCTCTGCTCCAACCCTTCAAAGTCTTCCCCTTGTAGCAGATAAACCTACATTCCTCACGAAGACCCACGAGACCTCCTTTCCTCCCCACTCTGCCCTCCTATTCTTCTTACTCCCAGTCACTAGTTTCTGAGCTGCTGCTTAAGGAAGAAAGACACCCTCCCCGCAGGGTCTTTGCTCCCCTCTCTCCTCAGTCTGAAGTGCTCTCCCCAAGCAAGCCACTCCCTCCCTTCCGATCCTTCCTCAAAATTCACCCTCTCTGCAGACTCTCACTGGTCACCTACCTAAATCTCACACACCTTGCCCACTTCGCCCAGCTCGATTTCTGTGTTCTTGTGGTACTTGCTCTATTTTGGGGTGTATACTTACCGTGTTTTTCTGAAAATAAGACAGGGACTTATATTTATTTTTTCTCAAGAAGACACGCTAGGGCTTATTTTCAGGGAATGTGTTCTTTTCCTTAAGTATGGTACAACAGTCTATATTTATTCAAATATCGTTAAGTCGTCTTCTTCTGGAACATCATCATCACTCTCCAAACCCCGAATTCCATCCTGAATTTCTTGTGACTCTATTTCCTTTAGAGCCATTGACCCCAATCTCTCATGTCGAGCAACAGAGCTCTCATGGGGCAGATGAGAAGGGCTGCTCGTCTTCTTTACCGCCCTGCAATGAAACGCATGGGTTGTGCAGACTCGCTGCGTAGCCAGGTGACAGCAGGCGCCAGGCAAGGCAAGTGGCCAAATGCTCCTCACGGGGCCTCGTCCACAGCTGGGACGGGTTATTCATAGACGTGAGCGCTAGGCGTCGCTTAAGAGAAGATCATGCCCAGGTGCTCCATGAAAGAGGCACAAATAATTGATTTATCCATGTCCATAAAACACAGCAGTCTTAGAATCATCACATGTATCTCATGGAGAGAAACATTAAAACTATGAGAAATCACTTTATTTTCTACTTTCTCTCAAGAGGCGGTGGCTGTTGGTAAATAGAAACTCCTTGTCCATCTGGATTCTGTGTGCCAGTCAGAAAACACCCCGTCACCACTCATTTCCCCCACGGCACTGCCGAAGGAGTCCATCGGGCACCGAATCAATGGCTGGGACCGGCTGGCTCCCAGGAGGGACGTTTGGAGAACTGTGGCGGAACGCAGCCCTGCCGTCCACCAAGCGCTTCCCCGACTCGGAGCGTGAGGCGGGCGCGGGAGTGAGCGTGCGTGGAGGAGAGTGGGGGCTGTGGACCAGCCTGGAGGGCTGCCTGGACGTCCCGCCAGCCCAGGGAACAGGACTCAGACATGTCCCCTGACCTCATCAGCTGGAAATGACTCTCGTGCCGTTTCAAGCTCAGAAACTTTTTCTAGAAATCACTTCTCACTGGGGTTTCCATCCGGCCATAAATCCCAAGTGACTGGATACAGTTTTGTTCTATGAATCTCCATGTGAATAATCGTCAGTAATCGACATGATCAGCTTTGCCCATCTACAAAAAGAAAAAAAAATAAAGAAACATTTTGTTTCATAATAATATTTATTAAATATACTGAGCTTGCTGTTAATTTTCCAGAAGTGCCTCTCATCACCAGGGCTTGTTTGGGGACATTATTGCAGTCTGAGTGACGAGTGATTTGTCTGAGTGGGGGCAGACTGAAAGGTCTGTCACGCCGCAGCCACGGAGACAGGCGCGCCACTATTCCACGAGCCTGATCTCCCGTACCGCGTGCGCTAGATCTCGCTTCAAAGCAGATTTTGACAGTAGGGAAAGTAATGGCCCCATTAGCCTCTAACAGCTGTATCAAGA